TGTTTCGTTGCTAGAGTCTGGAAATCTGAGGCAAAGCCTGTGAATTCCGCTGTTTGTCACTGAGAGTTGAGGAGTGGAGGATGAGCAGGCTTGCAGGGGTGTCATGAAGTCAGGGGCCACGCTCAGGTGAATCGCTTTTGTGCTGTCGTGGCCTTGGCTTCCGATGAGATGGAGAAATCAAATCATTGCTAGCCAAGGGCCCTGTGAGCAGGACTCACCTGGGAATGGGCATTTGCATCCTGATCCAGCAGCTGAACAGTAGTTCCTTGTGTTCTTCATTGAATTGATAACCGTGATCTGAAGCTGTGTCGTGGTGACGAATTACCTACAATTCATTGGTCCAAAAGAACATTTCACATAGAGCCCAGGTGGCCTGAGATGAACTTTTTTTTTTTTCCTTTCTTCATAGTATTAATTTAGTAGCCTTTCTTGGTACAGTTAATGCAAAACTTTGCTGTATCTTCCGTGTGGCGTGGTCCAGCATGACTGGATGGTCAGGGACTAATTAGTTTGTTGAAGTAAAGGTCTGAGAGCATGCTGGGACTAAAGGGCTGGCCTACAACCTCAACTGTGTGGTGGACCTTTGAAAGGAAAGGGACATGTCTGGTTTAGTAGAGACTATGTGACCTCCTCCTTTCCCGGTGTAGTCCTCAGAGCAGAGAGATGCCCTGGTGTTCCCCAGTCATGGGTTATAACAGCATGCCTTGTACATCCTGTGTACATTTTGGGCATGGTTCTACTTTTGTATCCAGCTGCAAAAATGTTGTGACCAGCCAATGACACATCAGTCTCTGTGCCATATAGTTACATTTGTGGCCTCATTCTTTGTCAAAGTGTGTTAGTATTCTGAAGCTATTTTTCATTTTTTTCTCTCTTAGGGACCACGTGGATTACCAGGTATCAAGGGAGAGCCAGGGAAAGATGGGGCTAAGGTAAAAAACAAAAACAAAAACTAAAAAGAAAAAAACAGATTTTATTCTTATCATTTTTAGTTGGTACAATTAATAATCTCAGTATTCCCACATGAAGCTTCTGTAAAAGTTGTTTACTAAAAAGATAATAAAGAAGGTAGAAGAATTCTAAATTTAGAATGTTATTTCAATTCTGAATCTGGTCTGCTGTATTTAATAAAGTTTTTATAGGCTTTAGCACTGCCAGTAGCACCTTTACGGCACTGAATAATTTATATTTAGAGAACATATCTAAGTATGGTACCTGGAAGGCTGATACAAACATCTGTCAGAATGGTTGCTTCCTATCTCTTTTCACCCTTTTTCTCATTAATGAGCGTCCAGATGAGCGAGGTAGAAATTTTTGGATGGCATTTTTTTTGTCAGAAAATACTGGCTAATTGAAACTCGAATGTTTTGTGGGAAAATTCTTGTTGAGGAGTAGGCAGTGACTTGGAGCTGCACACAGGTGTGGAAGCTCATATATGTAAGTCCCGTCTGCTGATCAGGATAAACTTGAATCTGGATCTCCCATATATACGGTGAATAAACTGGCCACTGGCTACTGGCAGGTCTCCTTGATATGTGAATATCTGTGCCCGCTTTTCTCTCATGCTCTCTTACACTTTTGCCCTTTGGAAAGTATATTTAGAAAAGGTTAAAGTTGATTTTGATACAAGCTTGTTTTTTTGTTTGTTCTTTGTAGAAAGAACACTTGTTTTCTAACCAAACTTTGCTTTAGAATACCCTTTCTCTGCAGTTCCTAACCCTAAAAGCAGATCCTTGAATTCCTCACTGTTCAGCAGAATTCTCAAATGCAGGATTAAAGCTGAAAAATGTGCTTGTGACTTCCGGTGCTTTAGGGATATTATGTTACTCTAACTGATCAGTCCGTACTAGGCCATGTGCAGAGTGTGAGATATCAGTGACGAAGAAAACCAGTATTCTTCTGGCAGTGCAGGGTTTTGACAGATATTTCCTAATGTTTAGTCCAGCCTTGTTTAAAGCGTGCCAAAAAATGGGGCTTCCACCACTATTTTAGAATGCTTCTTCCACTGTAAAGTAAGTCTTGCCATTAGCATTTTTTTCCTGATGATTCAGCCTAAATTTTCTAGATTTCATCCCGTTACATGTAAAGTTTCTATAGCAACTAATTTAAAACTATTTCCATTGCCAAGTGTTTCAGTCTATCCAAAAATTAAATCACCACCTCCAAACAGAAATTGGGGCTCCATCCTTCTTGCAATAAGGAGCAATGGAAGCACGATGACGTTATTTATAAGCTGTGCTGACTTTTTTAAATTGCATTCCATTTGTGTGGCCTGTTTTCAGTACTTACTTGTTGAGAGATATGTCTTGCAGCATTAACTGACAAGCTGTCCTTTCTGTGATCATGTTCCTGCCTCTTTGAATGTGTGACAGACCTCTCTAAATCTGCTTAGAGAGATCTTATCTGTTGCCCTTTGTCCCAAAACTGGAAATACTATGTAAAATAACATCCTGAGCATAACTTAATATTCTTTTCTTATGTTTGAAAGACGTTAAGCAAATTGAAATCTATTGCTCAATATAAAGTTAGCAGGTATTAATGGAGAGAAAAATCATGATTGGCCAAAATGATTTGGTGGTTGGTTCTATGTCCTGATTGAAATAGATTCAGTTTACTGAAAAAAGCAACTTATCTTGCTTTTATTGTTTCGAGTCGGGTGGTGCCAAGTTATAATTCAGCCTTCTGTTATAATAGCTCAAGGGAGCTGGAAGACAAATCATCAGAAAAATATGTCCAGTACCAATAGCAAAAGCTTTGGGATTCCTGACATCTGACAGCTGTGAGGACAATAGAAAGAGCAATATTATAAACAGAGCTATTTTAATAGCTCTGTTAATTTTTAATAGCTTTAAGGAAGTTTTCCAAAGAAATGGGCTGATTTTTTTGGTTTCTGTTTTCAGTTGCCAACTGCTTTTACAAAGTCAATTCTTTCTTCAGCTGAAATAAGAACTCATTTATCAAAGTGCCTGAAGTTGTTTAATCAATTTATTTTGGTTTTATTTTATTTAATTCTTAGAGAAAGTACTTAATATCTTAATATTGAATACTTTACTCATCCAGAGTAAGCTGGTGAGAAATTTGATAAGGTCAGTAGGCCTTTGATGTTTTCATGAAGAGGAGCAAAGCCATCCTGGATTTAGGGAATTTCCTTGCTCTTCAGGAATGAGGAATGGATGTTAGAGTTGTCACAATTCCTAAAAGCCATTATACAATGGGAAAGTATTGATTTGTGAGACATAATGTATAAATGGATTGGTTAGATCCTTCTTGTGATTAGATATGACGCAAACGTAGATTATACAATCTTAGTTTTGAACTTGCAGTAGCCATATGAGCTGATAAGCAGTCCTGCACCTATCCATGGAAGATTACCTTGAAATCCTATTTGTGGAAATAAAGCAAGGACTCCCCATGGCATGTTTGAGATTACTGAACATTAGAAACCAAATTAAGTTGTACATTTCCATGCAGCACGGTAATCACTGCTGAGCTGATGGATGGGGACAGTGAAAGAATTTTAATTAAAATAAATAAAAGTAGATATTTGCCAAATTCAATTTAGCACAATTTAATTGATAAAGGAATGTGAAAGAACAGGCACCTATTTTATGGAAGTTTTTGACAACTACCCTCAGAAGATCTGTCAAGCTTATCTCATTTACTGCTCAAATGATTTTACTTGAAATTCTTCCTAAGTTAAACGTTTCTGAACAGAATTCAGAAACATGCAGACATTTTCAGAGGTAAATTTCCATTTTGGAACCTCCATAAGTCTTAATGAGACATTACGGTGAAATTTATTTTAAAAAATAACTGATATCTAATGATTGCTTTTTTCTTTTATGCATTGCAACTTACCTGAAGACCAACAAACTCTCATCAGTCAACTTACCAATTTTACGTAGCTGATATACTGACATTTAATGTCTTTCCACTCTTTGTTGAGCATTTGAATTATGAATGTTATATTAGTATGTTACTGTTATTTTAGATATAAAGTTTTCACATGTGCTTGCTGTTTTAGGGTGACCGTGGACTTCCTGGTTTTCCTGGATTACATGGCATGCCAGCACCAAAGGTTGAAATTAAATAACATAACTTTGTGGCTATGATATTCATATATCTGGCCTTGCTCTGTAGTTTAATAAAAAATGAAAGAAGTTTGTGTATTATATAAATGTCAATGTATTTGCTGAAGTGCATAAAATAGATGGATATGACGCTGCATTAAAATTAAAAGGTGATAGAGATCATGGACCTTGATTAAATACCTATCAAGCAATGGAAATTGCCATTTTTTTCCTTTTTGTCCTATTCTCTGGGTTTCTATATGAATTACTCTGAACTTTGTTTTTATTACTACATAAATCACAAGTAATGTATCAAAATCATAAAATCATTAGTTATATATTTTTTCTTGAAGTCATTCAGTTTGAGTGACAGTATTTTGAATGACTGTTTTGATCTAACCCAATGAATTTCTCTCACATATGTGTTCCTCAGAAAATGTTCAACCTTGTCTTTTGCTCTTCTAATTTATGTTTTAAACATTTCAGACAAGATCTTCGGAAGAGTACAGCACTTTTCAAAGAGCTAAATTTTAATTTAGGTACCTACCTGTGTGAAGTGATGAGACATTCAAAGTGTCTTGTGCCCATCTTCCACTGAGAATAAAAGCATCAAGTGGTTGATTGTTGTACCAGTGGTATTGAACATTCTGGTCTCCTCCCTTAGGGGAGCTTGGAAAATTCGAGATATGCCTTTACTATCTTGAGCATATTTTTATAATATGAAATGGAGCTCTTTGCCCACTTAATTTGATGTCTGCTATATGTGAATTCTTCATATGTGTCTGTATATAAATAGTTCTATTTTTAGAATAATTTATTCACACATATTATTTTATTTAGGGAGAAAGGGGTCTGAAAGGAGATCAAGGAGTGCCAGGAGTATATGGAAAAAAGGTAAGTTAAAAAAAATAATTAGAAAACAAAGTGGCAACATTTTATTGACAGCATTCATATTTTATGATAGATCTTATTCATAGAGAATTTGATTCTGCAGTCATAACTCAGAGAAACTTCTACTGAAGTCAATGCATATATTTTATTTAGCAGTAGTAGACTCCCATGCTCTGCTTATTCAGATATCTGGAGAAGTGTGCCATCTGTCAATGTATCTATGTAATTCTTTTTAATGTAACACAAATTGCTTATAAATATATTTTTGTTTACAAATATGTCTATGCCATAAGTAAGTTGTATACGTGGAATAATCATATTGCAAAAAAGTCTGAGCTTTTAAATATATAGAAATGTGCATGCATTGTATAACCAAGAACAGAGAGCGAGAGAGAGAGAGGGAAAGGTAGAAGGGGAGGGAAAGGAAAGGAAATATATGAATGTAGTGAAAATGATAGCATGCTAGAAAAAATACACTGTTTTATATATCGTTTATCTAAAGCAATGTCTGCCTGCATATGTATATTATGTATAGAGAGAGTATTTTGGTTGTCCAGTGTGTCACTTTCATTTTTACCCATCCTTATCCTTTCTTCATGTTTTTATTGGTCTTGTGTTTTAAGCAATTTGAAAGAGGGTCTGTGGTCGTATTTCTACACTTTTGGGATATTTATATTTCAGTAACAGATGATAGTTATTAATAGACTACTATCTATGTAAAGAGCAAAACATCTCTTCCAGAAACTTTCAGAACAGGGAAATAGCATATATGAATTATTGACTCCGTATGCTGAATTTGCAACATAACTATTGAACAGTATTTGCTTTTGGTTTGTTATGTTTTTCAGGGTTCAAAGGGAGAGAAAGGTGATACAGGGTTTCCAGGCATGCCTGGGCGATCCGTAAGTTCTGTAAAGACAATTTGCCTTCAATTTTAGTTTATTGATTCCTGTACTGATGACTGTTAACTGTTGCCACAGGGAGACCCTGGCAGAAATGGGAAAGACGGATTACCAGGGAGTCCTGGCTTCAAGGTATATACAAACATATAAATATTCTTTCATTTTCATATCTTACTAGAGTTTTAAATGCCATTGCTATTGGCCTATATATGTCCGGTTTATTGAGTGGAGAATAACTGGGAATTAAAGCAATACCTCTTACTGGTAAATGCAAAGCTTGCTGGAGGCAGTGGGCAGACTTCATTGATTTCAGCTGGTTTGTGAATAGAGAATAGCTTTTATTAAGAGTGATAGCTTTTATTAAGAGTGTATTAGTGATATCAGAGGTTGCTTATACTTAAGTCTCTTTTACCCCATTTGCACATGTATTTCTCTAACCCTGAATCCTGTTAATGGAATTTATATACAAGCATATGCTGCAGAACATTCCTATTGTGTACAGTTAAGAGGGAAGTAATATTATTACTACTACTGCTTTTGATGAGGGTTGAATGAAAGTCAGGGAAAATGCCGTCAGTACTGGATTCACGTTTGTGTCCTTATTCTCTTCACTCTGCAGTACTTTTCCTGTTAGACTTAGTGCAGTTTGTCTGTTTGACTTAATTGCCTACTGTGTTTCTGTGCACTGCAGCAACGACTACTGCATCTGATATTCCTGTTATATATCACAGTCTGCGAGCTCCCTAGGTGTTTTGTTTGCCCAGTTATTGTTAGTACTTCTAATTTGTGAAAAGATGGGCATTAGCAGTATCAGTTTTAATTTCGCAGGAAAAAGGTTTTTATTAATATGTGGTGTAAATGGTGTCTGTGTTTAGGTAACTGATCAAGGTCCTGTTGACTGTAAGGTGGCCTAATGTTTCTCTACACAACTTTGGATGGGAAACCACATGTAGGTGTCTTTGAAGTTAAAGAGTATATGTCACTACAGCGCCGCTATTCTAAAAAGTACCCAACTTCGATGTATAATTAAGCATCCAGCTGTTCAAAAACCTTTTAAGAGAACACATCTAAAATAGCAGTCTATAAAAAAGATTTCTAAAATTTAACCTTTATACTAGGAAAGGGAAACTCAATATTTGCCATTTTATTTGTTCTTTGGAATGCCTAGAGACTGTGCTAAGAGATAATGAGGTAATTTTGTTTTGTATCAAATGGGTGTACTGCTTTTTTTTAACTGCCTTTTTATAGTTAGTTTATACCTTTAGAATACATTAGTAACAGAAGTTATAAATCTTAATTATGTGGAAAAAACCTTCTCATTGCTAGTTTTTCTGATGTTAACTTCAGCAACTAGCAACAGATTGTTTATATGATACTGAAGGACTTGGTATTTTTATTTGCTATTCAGTTTAGTTTTAAATACTTCTGTGGCATTCTGATCTTAAAATCCCGTTGATACTCGCTTTCGGATTGTCATTGTTAATGTATATCTAGGAGAGCGTGCATCTCTGGCACTTCTGAATACATCAAGTGAAGACAGCTTAGCATAGTTTCTTAATACACTCAGAATAATAAATTCCATTTGAAATCTGGAATACACTGTACACTGAGGACGGAAATCAGAGAAATTTTAAAACACCTGAATTCTACTGTGTCTGTGGGCACAGCAGCTACCTGTGTCCCCTTTAAAGTCAGTGGTGTCTAGAGGGCAATTCAGCTTGCGTAAAGAAAACTCATAGGGCCCAGCCTAGCTGCCTGCATACACGTATCAAGTGCCCTTTGAGATGCCTTAGAGCATCCTAAAGGGGCTGCCAAATATGACACAAGTACTACAGAAAGCCAGTGCCTTTGTGAAGTGGGAGCTGGAGGCTGACCTTGGGTATCTCAGATACAACCAAGCGCCTGTGTGTGGACAATGGATTGAGCTCTTGGCTGAGCAGCTGAGTGAAGGCTCTGCAGACTGTCTTGGCTAGACTTCTGTAGGCTGTACTGGGAGCCTGGTCACCTACATGTCACCTAAATGTCTTTATTTGAAATGAATCCTGCTCCATTTTCATCATATATATGTGTGTATGTATGTATGTATGTATGCAGATATCTCTGCTAAGTGAGAGGAGAAAGTCCCTTTCTGGTACTAATGGAAGAAGAAAAAATAATTAGATATTAGATGCTCTCCTCTCTGGTAGTTGATAACATGGACAAATAATAGTTGCAGTTATTTAACACACAATGTTAACCATCATTGATGAAGTATTACACTGATAAAGCATTAAACCATCATTGATGAAGTATTACACTGATAAAGCATTAATTTGGAGTGTATATTAATCTGTTTTTACCCTTTTTAACAATAAAGAGTTAGTTCAGTCTGTTACCTGCATGAGTCCATGTACGTTCAAACTAAAAGGTTTTTTCTTGACTGTTTTCTTAACTTAAGTACATGCCATGTACTTAAAATATGCCATGCTCATTACTTTTTATTCATTTTGGAACATAATAGTTAACAGAAGCCATATTCTCCATTCAAACATTTTGTCAGCTTGACTTTAACATCTGCTTGCTATAAAACATTGCTTCATTCTGGGGTCTGTTGTAATCAAATTCACAGCAGTAACAAACAGGCTGTCTTTGAAGGAAATTTCTGCTACAGCTTTCCTGTTCTCTTACAATATTTGTTCTGGGAAAGAATGTGGGGAAAAAAGCATGGCTTGAAACCCAGATGCTACCCATTATGACTTCAATCCACTTTTGTAATTTTAAGTTATTACCAGATTATTATATGTATTAATTGATCTGTGCATTTGCTTTATGTACCGTATTTCCCAGTTTTTCATAACTTTTTGGACAATGTATGTATTTTGAGTAAGGACATAGTGACTTGAGCATGTCTAGTAGTACTACAGTAGTTCTGAAGTGTTTTGAAATAGTTTTCAGCCTATTAGTTGTACTAACAATCAGACCAATAGTCAGCATAGTGTCGTAGGCTACATCTATATTAGTAAATTAAAAGCCCAGCACATTGGCCCTGAAGGCAGGCAGTAAGCTATGGCTTCTACTTCTGTAGATAAAATCTGCCCCTTGCCTTTCCTCCTCTCCAAAATAAAGTGGCCTCATTCACATAGCCTTTAGAGATCAATGCTTGGCTTAACCGTCCATCAAATGTCATATGCCTGGACGTTTCTTGGAAGGGGACAAGTTGGCATCCGGCAAAGCTATGCACGTAAAACACTCAGCGTTAAGCCTAGGCCAGCGGATGGTCATAGATCAGTACTGAAGCGTTCTCTGTTTAGTTTACTATTTCACCATAAATTTCTGATATTTTTCTGCTAGGGATGATTTTAAACTAGTTTAACAGTTTGGACAACCTAGGTAGTTGAGCATAATCTATGTTATAAACAGATTTGTTAAAATCCTGACTAAACCCTATTTAAAGCATAAGGAATACACAGCAATAGGTTGCTTTTTCTGAAAACCAAATCTCTGGGCTTGATTTTAAGAATTATGCAGGTTTTTTTTTCTCTTACATATACATTTTTGGTCAAAATGCCAAAGCTGTGAAAGGCAGAAGTGTTCTTAGTCCTTTTATAGTCATTTTGTTCCCGTTTTTTATCATTTCAAAGAGTAAAGTTTGATTCGTTTCCCAACAGAATTAAAATCAATAGTTTTCCATTCACAGTTGCCACGCTTCTTTTCTTTTATATACTGTCATTTTATTGTTGTCATTTGCCCTTCAACCAGTAATTGCCTTTCTGATTCAACTCTTCTCAAATTTCAAAAGAAAATTGTCTCTCTCTGATCTGTTTTTGCAAGCTATTTAACAACTTTCTCTTGGACGCTACATGAAGGAATTTTGAAATGACAGAACTTACTGTGTTTCAAACTGTTTTTAAGAAACTTTTTGATGAAGCCTTTAATATGTGTATTTGTTTTACATTTTAATTAGATTATTTTAAAATAGTAATTTACCATTTGAATTTTTTTTAATGGAAAGGAAGATTTTTGTTTCAAATAACATATTTAATATTTTTCATTTTAAAGGGAGAAGTTGGACAGCCTGGATCTCCAGGCCTAGAAGGACATCGGGGAGAGCCTGTAAGTGATTAAATTCCTGACATACCCTTACATACTGGTTTTGATGTTGTTAATGGATGCTGCACTTCGTGTTTCACCTATTCTGATTTTGAATTGATTGCGTGGTTTTTTTGTAAAAGTGCTTTTATTTTCTGGTATTCATCTTTAAATTTCAATTTAGTAAAAGAGTGCAAGAAGCCTTTAAAGTCAAAGGTGCCTTATAAGAAAGGATTCTCAAATATATTCCTGTTATACACCACTTTTCCTATATAATATAAAGTTATTCCATTGTATTCTGGGTATTTTTAATTATCCTTTCTGCAATGTGGGATATGTCGTTTTACTAACTTGCCAGTGGTACCTTTAAAGTTTGTTTCCTTCACGATCTACCGTCTTTTTTCCCCTTTGTTCAATTCTCTTGGTCATTTGCTTCCTTGCATCTTGCACTCTCTACATGTTGTTTTGGTCTTCTCCCCTGCTCTTGCTGTCCTGGTGAAAATGCTGCTAGCATTTTTGTTTTGCTTCTTTCCCAAGGCATTGCTTCTCTGCTGGTGCTTGGACAACTCGTCAGGGCAGCTGCTTTTACATCTTTTTTTTTTCTGTAGTAGCTAGGCTGTGTCCTCCTTGTTTCCAGCTGTTCTTTCAGGCCACCAGGCTTTGCTTTAGGCAGAGGAGCCAAGATATCTGTAGAAACAGCTGAAAGCTTGGAGCGCCAAGAAAGAGCCAGCTGCCTTCAAACCACCAGTAGTTGTTCTGTAGACCGTAAGTGGTAAATCGAGCTCAGTTGGTGAACCAGTGCCTTCCAGAGGAATTACATTTTGCTAATCGTAAGATGAGAAGATACAGCTTTATAAATTCACAGACTTTTGGAATACTGAGTATAATCCCTTATGATGAAAGGCAATTTGTATTGCATGGTACTGAAAGCCAGTAGAGAACTCCGCTGGCTCGGAGATGGAAGTAACAACCCGGACTGAAGTACGCTAGGACTCTTCCCCTTAGAATATTTATTTATTCACCAAAACTCATAGACTGCAAAACACTGGGCGATCATTCCTAAGAGACTTCCTTTCCACTCGGCTGGCTTAAGTGAAGAATACACATAATTCCTCACTTGGCTTTGTTTTTTTTCTTTTTATGCCCCAAATAACCATGTAACCTACTAAAATGTATTAACCTTTTACACTCTGCAGTATCTTCAAATATAATAAATAGTGAAAGGGAGCGCTAAATAAAGCGGTAAAATATAAGTGTTAGAAGGTTTTGTAGTATGCAAATTTAAGACAGGAGCAGGACATATGTTGTTTTACATAGTCTGATACTGTCCCTTTACATTTTTAGAAGAAATGTTAGTTAATTGCAGCTAACTTTTTAAAAATTAACTTAATTTAATAAACAGGAAGCAGAAGGCATTTCTGAGCTAGAGTATACTAAATATTTAATACTTCAGCAGCACTCTTTTTGATCTGACAGCTTTGTTTAAATCAGTTTTATCTACTAAAGAAATATATTTTTATTTAAAATTAATATAAATGCTTAATAATGTAACATTTTAAACAAAAATGTGAATTCATTATTTATATCTTCTGAAGAGAAATGAAGTGGCAGATATAAGCTATGAAAATCACTGCAGGGTCACTTAAAATAACATAGGGAATTTTAGGGAAAGACTTTCAAAGTAAAAAAATCTACAAAGATTTGCATAGTGCTAAAAGGGCAAGCCAGATTGTACTGTATATGCCTCATTTATAATCTGCGGAAGTTCTTCTGAAGAGTGGAAAGGCTGCGTGCATATAGGTAACCAGTAGGAGATGTTAGAAACCTAGTCGTGCGTGATCCTCTGCCTCCCTTGCTGGCGTAGCACCGCACTGTGTGTGCAGCATGAGCCTTGTCTGTTTAGCCCGGAGCAGGGACATCTGTGTGCAGCCGTGCTTGGGCTGTGGGAAACGAAAGCCCTCCTCAGCCTGAGCCGCTGGGATTTGTGGCCCCCTCTCTCCAAGGAGGGGGTAGTTGGCCTTCATGCTGTGCGACGTGGGCCGTTTTGGAAAGAAGTATGTAAAAGGCTGGGCAAGTCAAAGGGAGAAGTCTTCGGCGTAACTAAGAAGTTTTTCTTTCTGCTATTTTGGGGGCTGTGAGGGATGCCTTGTACCACTTGCTGCTCTGTTGTTTCTGTTCTTCCTGCACATGTCTCTGGTGGAGAATGTGTAGGTGCTTCCTCTCTGTACTTCTCCTGGCACCGTGATGTCTCACGTCAATATTCAGTGTGGTCTCCTCTGGGGGGGTACTCTGCTGGTTAGGGTGCTGGGCTGGGAGAGAGGGTCTGACTCTGAAATGCCCCACCTGTGATAGCTGAACAGGCTGCATAAGCTGGATATAGACCTTGGATGATGTTGTTGGACCAGCCTGACTCTGTACCGCTGACAGCCAGCTGCAGTTGGGACCTGGGGCTCCTCAGCAAGTTGCATGGATACCTCTGCCCACACAAACATGCATGCAGACTGTCTTTATCTCTTCCTTTTGGGCACATGAGTGTTAGACATGGCCTAATTCTTCAAGTTGGCCTGTTAAAAATAGCAATCTTACTGTACTTTTTGCTGTAGCAAATAACCAAGGAGCATGGTTGCAAAATGAATGCTTACTGAGACAGCAGTTAAGAGACAGCTGTCCGGGATACGGCGTGCAGCTGAACTGAACTCCCATTGCCTTCAGCCTCTGTGTGTGGTTATTTCCTGGACAATATACTTTCTGGTATATTATTGCTCTTATTAATCACCAAATTTATGTACAGGAAAAAATAGGTTGTAAAGTTAAGTAAGTAATTCCAAGTGGTGTGGTTGTTTTCCCTCAATAGTACTAGCTGGACCTTAAGTTAGGCAGGCCAGTTTTATTTAAGAAAAACATTTGACAGCATGGACAGAATAATTGAGATAGCATGTAGTAAAGCTACTAATCAAGCTCAGTTTACTAATGACAGAAATAGGGCATGCTCCAAGCGTAGTCATATTGTCACTTCAGTAGTTCATGTCTATCTTACTAATGACATGCTGTTTGGATAAATACATTTGTTGGAGCTTTTCTGATGCAAATAGCAGCCATATTAGAAAGGGAGCAACTGTCTAAAGGGTAGAAAAAGTCAAAATATATTCCGGCTCTATTTCAGCCTGATTCTCCTTTTTAATATAAGTAGTGTGAGTCTTGTTGGGGTTTGATTTCAGTGGAAGCAGGATTGGACTTCTTTGCGCCTCGTGTTGGCAGTTCTGCCAATGGGAGCTCTGAACTGAGCGTTTCAGAGTGCAGTTGGCACAATATTTATTGCACTTGTCCAGGCCTAGCATATACTGTTCTGCTACAAGTAATAGGTCTGAACATTTGCAACTGAAGTTTGCTCTCCAAAAGTCATGTTTTTCTGAAATACAGCTGCAAACACTTCAAAATGGTAGAGTTTCCGTGTTATACTTAGGGCCTCAGATGTGGCCTCGTTTGTGACAGTGATAGCAGTGTAACTCAGCTTTCAGCTCCTGACCTGACTGCTGCTGCTACACCTATACTCTAGTTTGTTTCTTCATTGTTTCTAGTAACTATTAGGCATGCCAGCTCTAAGTCAACTTTTTATCGTTTTCTAAAATCAACAAAATGTGTGATTTATACTGGGACATGGTAACAGAATTCTTTCTAAATCTCTTGTTCAAGGTACACTAATGGTATAGAAATCCTCATACCACAGAGGTGACTATATTTTCTTCATAAAGCAGGGGTCTTTTAAGTATGACATAGAAAATCATATAGCCAGGTAGCCAGTATATTTGGAAGTTAAGTGTAATTTTACTGCCTCTATATCCACACTGAGATGAATAGAAACGGGGACCGAAAAGGGGCATTCCGCTTAGTTACATGGTAGTATGCTGAACAAAAGAGTCTTTCTTTCTTCTGTGTGCCACGTGATATTTTTCCCTCACCCTTACTATGCCGGCTTGCACATCTCATCAAATTCTCTTTAGTGGGACCCTTGTAGTGTAGCACCTTCTTGAGGCAAGATGCCTCATTAAATGGAGTCTCTTTTACGTTCGGTCTTGCCTCCCTTGTCTGTCTTTGCATAGGAGGCTATGAAAAAGCAAATACAAACTGCAGAACGGCTAGCAGTTGTGTTTTTTGAATACTGATAATCCTGAGAGATCTTGTTCTCAGGCCAAGTTCCTGCCAGTCTGATAGTGATAACAGGAAATAATAAAATTTGCTTATTAAAAAGTACAGGTGACTGATTCTAATGGACTTTCTTCTTCTTAGGCGCAGCTGTGCAGAAATTGTATCGCTGACGGTCATTTCATAAATTCACTTGCACATAAGTGAGAAAATATTTTGAGGATTGAGGAAATTCTGAAAAATGGTAATCCGTATACATTTACCTGCTGAAACAAATTTACATTCACCTCAGTTGTTTGCACGCTTTTGTGCTTCTAGCCTTGCATATATTCTAATGAATAAACCTGAGAAGAGAAATACCTAACACTATACCATATTTCAGTGAAAATATGAAATAAATGGTGTGTAGAGAGGAATACCTTTTATGGAACATTAACTTTGTATTAACTATATACATTAAATACAGCAGTAGTCTTAGTCTATAGATTCACTATACCAATAGAGTCTTAGAGCTAAACTAGACTGTTTAGGAAGAAAGGTACTATTCAATTCATCTTTAATAAAATAGTTCAAATTTTGTACTTTTAGTGGTCATAGTCACCAAAATTATTTGCTGAGTTGTTTCTGATAATGACTATATTTGAGAAAGTTGCATCATGTGTGAATTCTTTGTCAGTTCTCTCTTTCTAATTGACAAATAAAAGAAGAAATCCAAATTACTGAATAGCTCAATGATTATTCACTTAGTTTGAATATTGACTGGAAAGGATGATGACCACTAAGTGAAATAAGTGGAAGTGAAATATTTACACTGCATGTATGCACGTACCTACTTTTCAGTGATCAGTAGGACATTCTTTGCTTGATGCGCTTTGTGTTGA